GCGGCGGCGTTGAAGGGAGCGGCGAGGGGACAAGGGCGCGGCGAAGGGACAAGGGAATAGGCGAGGGCGCGTCGGCAGCGCGGACCGAGCCGAGCGGAGGGCGGGAGGCGGGAGGAGCGGGGGAACGGGGGAGCGGTTAACTCGGGCAGCCCGGGTGACGTCAGACAGAGACCAGACCGTTATCTTCGCGTTCTAATCATAATCTAATCTAATCCAACGTTTGACATAGAGGCCGGATACGATAGAATAGGACTTGTACAAGTATGGTAATATCTCCGCCGCCAAACGCCGCGACACCTAGGTGCAACGGAAGGTGCTCGGCTAACAAGCGCGGCAGGCTTGACAAGCCTCACACGCCCTAATACCGTGATAGGCTTCATAAGCCTCTACTCTGGTGTCACTCAGGTGCGAAGTGTGTGCGGGCCAACAATCGCAGCAGATTAAATGTCCCACCTTTCTCACGTCTTTATCACAAAACTTTGTTACCATCCACGCTTCAGCTAGCTTATCGGACGTTGGTGCAGACACCCAGTTGCAACAGAGGCACGCAACTTTACTGGATCATACCCGATGCGGAGCGCTTGTATGCTGGCGTCGGCGCGGTTAAGCAGTCATGCTGAATGGGACAAAATGTGTCGTCGGGACCGGTGGGATGGTGAGTGTCTATAGATGATATTCGAGCCCTACCTAGGCTTCTCACCAAGTTTAGCTGGATCTTGAAGTTTGCAGCAACGTGTTATGGATCAAAGGACTGCTGTATATGCGATAGAAGCATCGTGCTCATAATAAGCTGTGGCGTTACTCGTGTTGCCATGTCCTATCTTTGGAAAGCTTGTTTCAGATTAGGGTTGTGCTTACCGTAAGAACATGTGGAAGGTTCCGTGTCTGGCATACACGGAAGAACCGTACGTCAGGTGCTCATTCTATCGGCATACACTGACTCAGCGCACAGCTCCGCTTGCAAGGGTACGAGGACACGGCTCTGTCTCTTCAAGTTCGCCGCCCAGGTCTTGCATTCCAGAACGATCATCGCACTACCTGGGGCATTCTTCAGCTCGTGTCATCTACGTATCGCTCATGCTCGACAGGCAGCCTTATCATGGACGTTCCCGTAAACTCGTGCTCGCGTTTGACGTTGGTACGACATTTAGTGGTGTATGCTACTGCTTCCTGGACCCTGGAGAGGTCCCAAAGATTCAAGGGGTTACGAGGTAAGCCCTGATTACGACGTCGACCGAACCCTTGAAGCTCAAATGATCCAACACGGATAGGTATCCCGCCCAAGAGCATGTTGGAGGAGAGTCAAAGATCCCATCCATCCTATACTACGACAAGAATCGCAAAGTCCGTGCGTTGGGCGCTGAAGCCCTCCAAGAACACGTCATAGAGCACGCTGAGGACCAGGGATGGACCAAAGTCGAGTGGCACGTAGCTCACTCCCGTCCTATCTTCAGCGCTAATCCGGACATTAGGTGGAAAATGCACCTCCGCCCAAAAGACCTCGCCTCTGCACACATCAAGGACGACAACATACCTCCTCTCCCTCGCGGAGTCTCCGCGATTCAAGTCCTCTCTGACTTCATGGCCTATCTTTTCCGGTGCGCCAAAACTTACATCAAGGAGTCGCAGGCAAACGGCGCGAGCATCCTCGCCTCTGTAGCGGGTAGCATCGACTTCGTGCTCTCGCACCCGAATGGGTGGGAGGGCGCGCAGCAGACGCAGATCCGCCGTGCGGCGGTGCTCGCAGGTCTGATCCCCGACTCGGCTAAAGGTCAAAAGCGTATCACGTTAGTCACAGAGGGCGAGGCAAGTCTCCACTATTGCGTCTCAAGCGTTCTCGCTGCGGATGCGTGGTCGAAGATGCCTATAGAGAAGCCCGAGTACGATGGTCCGGTATCAGATGGAGAGGATGCTACCAGTGGAGGCGTTATCGTTGTTGACGCTGGAGGAGGGACTATTGACCTTAGTGCATATTCAATGATACCCAAGACCACTCCCAGCAAGGCACTGTCTTTCGAGGAGATCGCACCCACAGAATGTACGTAGCTTTCCAGTTTTTGACGCTGGCTAACATCCAGATCAGGCCGGCTACAGGGATCTATATTCGTGACGCGTCGTGCACATGTGCTCTTGAGAGGCAAATAATCTCCTCATATTTGTTCTAGTGTGCACGGCGCTAATTGGGTCGCTGGATTTAGAGAAGCTCAAGGGATCGTCGTTTGCAGACCCAGGGATCATTGATCAGATGACAGATGTGTTTGACAAGACGACTAAGCACCGGTTCAGAGGATTTGGCGAGCCGTGCTACATCAAGTTTGGCACTATGCGGGATAAGGACCCACAGTACAACATTCGCGCGGGTCAGCTCAAGCTACAAGGGTCGGTCACGTTTCATTTTCTGATCGCTTTCCAACAAGCTAAGTCTTCCCCAGAAATGATGTTGCTGGACTCTTTGATGCTTCGCTTCAGGCCATCCTGATGGCCATCCAGCAACAAAGGCAAACATCATCGACGAACGTATCTGTAAGTTTCTGCCATCTGACTCATTATCGAGTGCCTAAACATTCCGTAGCTCGTGTTCCTCGTAGGTGGATTCGCTGCCAACGATTATATGTTCAAGCAACTTCAAATGTCTTTGGCACCGACTGGCATCAGCGTGAGCAGGCCAGATGGACACGTGTGCGTTCTTTTCATACCAGTCACCTTTGTTGTCTCACCTAGCATTTAGCAATAAAGCTGTTGCAGAAGGGGCTGTGTCATTCTATATCGACCACCTTGTTTCGTCACGTTCTGCCAGGTTCACCTATGGTGCAGAGGTATCCGTTGACTACGACGATGATGACCGTGAGCACCGCGTCAGGAAACACATGGCATACCTCGACCCTTCAAAAACACGCATTCTTGCTCATGGATTCAACGCTATCCTAAAGAAAGTGAGTGGTTTATGTGGCTCGGCCTTCTTTCTCTCGTCCAATACAAGTCGTCCAAGGGAACGTTGGTATCGGAAACTCAAGAATTCAGGCGCTCATACAGTCAGACGAGCTCCGTGCGTTGGGATCTCCGCGAAGCAGACGCCTCTCTGAAGGCGTATCGTGGAGCTACAGCGGACCCCCGGTGGACGGACAAGGAAAAACGTGCGATAACTCTGCATGTCATCTTCGAATCATGCTAACGGCGCCTTCGGTTCGAACAGATGCCTTCTCGCACCTCTGCACCGTTCGTGCAGATACTTCTGCAGTTTCTGCAGCAGTGCACCGGGAACGAGGCCGGCGTTACTACACGATTGAGTATGATGTCGTTTTGCTATTCGGTCTCACCGAACTCCAGGCACACATCCGCTGGGTAGAAAAGGTACGGTACTTACTTTCTTCAGCGTAATCAAGCATCGCTTACTCCACGTGTTACAACTAGGGCGTAGTAAAGCGGTAAGTGGTGCAACTTTCTGGGGTTCTTGCGCCCTAACATCCTTACAGGAGTCCTGCGGTAATCATATATGACGACCATATGGAAGAGTTGCGTTGAATGCGTCATTAGCGCAGGGAGTTACACGGCATGGTTCGCTGTGAATACGATGTGACGGACTCCTGAATTGCTCGTACGCGCATGGTCAAAATCACATAGCATAACGTTGTTTGTGTGCGCGTGTAATATGATGTGTAGCGCAAGAAAAGCAAATGGGGGTCTTCTCTTCTACCATGGTAAATTTCGAGCTTAAAATGCTCTTCCTTCCCCGTGCCTCGTGTTCGATTTAACATGAACGGAAGATATGGATCCTTCTTTTACCTTACGCGTGTGCGACAGATAGCTATCTATGTCGAGCGGCGATCTGATGTAGAATGTTGACCGTTCCAGCATACATTTGCCAGATCTCGATCTAACATGCACAGCAAAATGGGCGCTCCGTACGCAGAGTTGATCTAGTGCCTAGCCCTCGTTTTTCAGCTACGCGATCCACTCAGCTAGCATCCGTAAAATTCCGTTAACAAAATCTGAAGGACACGCTCATATCTCTTGACGGCCAGCCAACGAAGAGTCGTCACACTATCGAATACCTTCGCTTGGATCCTGCTCTCTGCTAAGTTCATCCTCATGCTCGATAGGCAACCTTACCATGGGCTCTCCCGCAAATTAGTGCTTGCATTCGATGTAGGCACCACGTATAGCGGGGTATCGTACTGCATTTTAGACCCTGGTGATGTCCCAAGCATTCAGTGCGTATCGAGGTAAGTCTGACATGTAATAAGACAAGTAAATATGTGAAGTCAGATAACATAACACGCGCATCTAGGTATCCAGCCCAGGAGCATGTTGGTGGGGATTCGAAGATCCCGTCAATCCTGTACTACGATAAAGACTGCAAGGTCCGTGCGGTGGGTGCTGAAGCCCTTCAGGAATACATCGTAGAGCAAGCTGAGGATGAAGGATGGTTTATGGCTGAATGGTACGCACCTTAAACATTTCCCATGTCCACGTTCCCAGATTGACCATCATCGCTGCAACTTAGGTGGAAAATGCACCTTCGGCCGAAACATCTTGCTTCTGCCCATATCAAGGATGATGACATACCACCTCTTCCCAACAGAGTCTCTGCGATCCAAGTCCTTGCTGACTTTATGGCGTACCTATTCCGCTGCGCCAAGACGTATATTGAGGAGTCCCAGGCCAGCGGTGCGAGCATCCTCGCTTCTGCAGCGGATAGCATCGACTTCGTGCTCTCGCACCCGAACGGGTGGGACGGCCCGCAGCAGACGCAGATCCGCCGAGCGGCGGTGCTCGGTAGCCTGATACCTGACTCTACCGAGGGCCAGAGCCGCATCACGCTCGTCACAGAGGGCGAAGCGAGTCTACACTATTGCGTCTCAAACGTGCTTGCGTCGGATGCGTGGTCGAAGATGCCCCTTGAAAGGCCCGAGTCCGAGTCTGACGGCGAGGCGCCAGGGGAAGAAGAAGCCGGCGATGGCGGCGTTATCATCGTTGACGCAGGAGGAGGTACGATTGATCTGAGCGCGTACTCGATGAGGCCCGGCACGAGCACCGGTAAGGCTCTGTCTTTTGACGAGATTGCGCCAACGGAGTGTACGTGATCTGAATGTTTGCTTGACGTATATATCCATGAGTTGACTTTCCGTATCCTCAGGTCGGTTGCAAGGATCCATCTTCGTGACCCGCCGGGCTCGCACATACCTCAAAGGTAGACGGTTCTATATGGCGCTTCAATTACAGTGCTAAATCCAGCCAACCTCACACAGCCAAACTCAAAGGATCGATCTTCGGAGCCGACGATTACGTCGAACAGATGACCAAAGAATTCGACAAGACCACCAAGCACCGTTTCAAGGACGTTAACGACCCGTACTACATCAGGTTCGGCACTGCCAAAGATAAGGATATGCCTTATGGAATCCGCTCAGGACAGCTCAAGATTGAAGGGTTAATTCATATTCATATTGATCTCTTTGTGGACAAGCGTTACTGATTTTATGGTAGGAAAGATCTGGCGCCAATGTTCGAACCTTCGGTGGAGAGCGTCCTTGCGGCGATTCAGCAACAAAGGCAAGCGTCATCGAGAAACATATCTGTAAGCGCCACATTGACCTCTTAGCTAATTCTGAGTCATCTTCCAGTTTGTTTTCCTTGTAGGCGGCTTTGCAGCGAATAGCTACCTGTTCAAGCAACTTCAAATATCCTTGGCGTCAACGGGTGTTAACCTAAGCAGGCCTGATGGACATATGTACGTCATTCTTGTTGGCGAAGCTGTCGATTGTCCTCTTACGCAGGCATAGGAACAAAGCTGTTGCAGATGGAGCGATCTCATTTTACCTCGATCCACATGTTGCAGGGGACGCCGATGGAGATGCTCGGTAGCACGGATGGCCAATTGCGCCGACATGCTCGGTCCAGCGGACATCCGCGGACAGCTGGAGTGGTCGCGTCCGCGGATGCTACATTATAAGTACAATTTACTACAATAATAGTAATGAAGTAATATTAAGGCTCTGAGCAGTGGGCTATGCTGTCGGCGTCGGTGGTCACTATGGCATTCACAAGTACACTACAAATATAATAGCCAATCATGATAATGTGTTAGTAGCATGTTGGGGATTCTAATACGGTCTCGGCGTCTGCAGAATGTCGGCGTCAATGTCATGTCGGCGTCAATACCATATCGGTGTCTGTGACAGGTTCGGGTCCGCGGATGCATTTGCATTAGTAAACAGGGCTACAAATGTGATATGAGTCGGTATTGGATATGCTATCGGCATCCATTCACGATAGTAGT